GGAGGAGGAGGAGGAGGAGGAGGAAGAGGAGGAAGAGGAGGAGGAGGAGGAAGAAGAAGAAGAAGAGCAGGAGGAGCAGGAGGAGATGGAGTCGGCGGAGGTGGCAGCGGAGGGGAAAGGAGGGAGGAGTGAGCGGGGCGGAGGGCTGGTACGTCGTGCTGGCGGCGCCCGCGCGGGTGGCCGCGAGTGCAGCGAATGGCCTGGCAGCCTGTGCGGTGTGCACCGTGGCACGCCCCCGCCGAGGGGGCGTTCTCCGGACCTCAGGCAGATTGTCTCGGGAAGCCCCCCGAGGCAGTGGCCACCCCAGCGCCGTGCTCTGCCCCCCCTCCCCTCCCCCCCCCAGCGGCGCCCTCAGAGCTCGTCCGCGGAGGCCTTCGCGGCGGAGGCCTTGACTCCTCCTCCGCCTGCTCCTCCCTTTCCTCATCCCTTCCTTCCTCCTCCTCCTCCTGCTCCTCCTCCTCCTCGTCCTCGTCCTCGTCGTCGTCCTCCTCCTCCTCCTCTTTCTCCGCCTGGCCGTTCTCCGCGGCCGTTTTGGCACAAGCCGTGCCGGGTCTGCGCCGCTCTCGGGACGCCCTCTCGCCCATGGCGCGCCGCCGCGCGCCGTGTGCGGCGCCCGCCCGTTAACCGAACCAACCGCTGGAGGCAGCCCTGGTCCCGGCGGCCCCGCCTGGCGCTCTCCACTATCCGAAGGCGCCGCCGCGCACATCCGCAAATTGCGCCGCGGCGGTGGGGTCGTCGTCGTCGTCGGCGTCGTCGCCGTCGCCGTAGTCGCCGTCGCTGTCGGCGTCGCCGCCGCCGCCGCCGCCGCCGCCGTCGTCGTCGTCGTCGTCGTCGTCGTCGTCGTCGTCGTCGTCGTCGTCGTCGTCGTCGTCGTCGTCGTCGTCGGGGGGAAGGGCTTTGGGGCACGGGCCCCCGCCGTGGATGTTCGAGAACAGCAGGCTGAGGGACATGTGGGCGACGGACAAAAAGGTCTGCGCCGACATTGGCGCGTAAGCTGCCCGAGTAAGGTCGCGCGTAAGCGCCCTCGTCTCCACTGTGGCTTGACGCGCTGGTGACCCGCGTGAGTCACCGCGTAAGGTCGCTATGCCATCTCATGTGGTGGCGCAGCAGAGCAGTCGACGCACCGCTCCAGTCGCTGGGTGGCCCAGGTTCACTTCCTCGGCTGGGGCAGACGCGACGGACCTCAGCCGACAGGGGGCAGCTGCCGCGCCTCGCCCTCGCGGCCCGGCGTGGAGAGCTTGCTCCTCCCGGGCCCCCGGTCGACTGCACACGCAAGAGTGGCCCCTCGCCGCACGCGCAAGAGTGGCCCCTCGCCGCAGTGACCTTTGGTGCGAGCCCGCTGGGGCCCCCCAGTCGCCGAACGCGATGCGGTAGTGGCGTCTGGCGCGCTTGCGTTCGGCCCCCCCGCCGGCCCCCCCCCCCCCCGAAGCCGCGCACCAGAGGTCCCTCTTGCCCAGGGCCACTCCTCGCGTGTCGCCGGCCTGGGGCGGTGCCGGGGCGCGAAGATGGCGGCGCCTCGCGCCGCGGGCCGCGCGACGAGCGGAGTGAGACGAGGGACCGTCGATGGCAAACAGTCCACGCGCATCGTACAGTGGAGGCCCATGCCAAGAAGCACCCTGCTTGCCTCCAGGGTGCTCTGAGTTTCTTGGGTTTCGATGGTTTTGCTATGGAAAGCGTGACTTTCCCACACGAAAAATCAACAGACTTCCTGGGGTCTCAGGGTTGGGTTTCTTGTGGAAGGTTTCTTGTGGACTGGCCTCCGCTGTAAAGACGCGAGCCTTTTCTAGGGTACCGTTGTGTTCTTGCCTCTGCGGCCCCTTGCGGGTTAGGGTATCCTTGCTTCCCTGGGGTTATGGTCGCCCGCCGCCCGACAAATCCCAACTTCGGCCTCCAAGGGTCTCGTGTCCCTGCCACTTTTCCTTACTGGACGTTTTCTGGGGGTGGACAGACCTCCTACCCTGACACGTCGATTAAGGAATCGGCCGTTCTCGGTTCGCGAGAGGGCGTCGCGGCCGTCATTTCTGCGGGCCCAGGTCCGTCGGTTTCCGCCCCGGGCCGTTTTCACTAAGGGGAGGTCTGCCAAAGGGAGGTTTGTCCGCCGCCGAGTTTTCCGCTAAAAGCTAGGCGGGCTACGCACAGCTTCAATTCGGGAGACAGGGCACAGGAAAACTTTTTCGCTGCACACACAGAGCGTTCGGAGCGCGGATTGCTTGGATCAGCGATGGGACCCCGTGGCGGCGCCCCCGGCGGCGCCCCGGCGCGCGGAGCGCGCCGGGGGGGGGGGCCCGTCGCCGACCCGAGAAGTCCGCGCCGACCTCCGCAGGCGTAGCTTTAAGTCGGGCCTGTCCCCCTACAGGGGGATCTTCGACGAGAGAAAATACCCCAAACTAATCCAAAAATAGTCCAAAACTAGTCTGGGGACTATTTGTTGGGTATTTTTTGACCTTTTTGGGGTATTTTTTGGGTATTTCTAATTTTTCGTCGAAAATCCCCCTGTAGG